CATTCAAACTCATATACATTACAATTAAAACAAAATATATACACAAAAAATAAAACACGCATCTGATTTTTCCGGTTGAATTTTCCGATTGTTGTTACATCAAACTAATCATACCATGTGACTTCATTTTGTTTCATAATCTCAAACACAAGACTATGTAACGATTCGTCAATGTGCCCAGCCCCGCGCTTGCGCGGGGGCTATGAAACTAGTTAGATATAAGGGTAAACTTATCCACCGTAAGATCGTTAATTCCCTTATCGATAATGGGTCTTACTCTTAAGATGGGTCTGTCTGTTAAGGATTGATCCAAATGTCGGAAGCATGGAGGCATAATATAGGAAAATCTTGGCGGCAACCCATCACTAGTTTATATCCATTGCATCGAACCCCAATCTCTATCACTTCTCTCTCTCTCTATGTATATATATATATATATATATATGTGTGTGTGTTACATTAGAGTGATGTGAAGTAAAGGCAAGCACCATTTACTCATTATCTCCACTTTCTCACCAAATATATATAGCCCACACAAACTGAAACCTTCAGTAAGACGTATCTTTACTTTCTTTATTCTGAAAAGAAACCACATGTGTGTCTCAAGCCTCGCCTGAAGATATAAAGAACTCATAATCTTTTTAAAAAAATTAAAACCTCAAAGCCTGATGGACGTTCTCAAAGTTTCTGACAAGACAACAAACCCATGTAGAAGTGACTCTCTGTTTGGTTTGAACCAGCAACAATGCAAAGAGACGTCTTATGGTCACAGAGATATGGAGATTCATCCTCATCCTCATGTCACTACTCCTTGTAACAACCTCTCTTCTCTGTTCTGTATTTTCATTGATTCATCCTCATCCTCATTGCATAATGAATGGTCTTCTCATGATTTGTAACAGATGCAGGAAACGGAGTTTTGGGTTGTTATTACTATTGCCCTTTTACAAGCGCGCAACTCGCGGAGCTAGAGAGACAAGCGATGATCTACAAGTACATGATCGCATCGGTTCCTGTCCCTTTCGATCTCCTTGTCTCATCATCATCATCCTCTGCACCGCCCTGTAATAATAAAAACCTTTCCGGAGATCTAGAGCCAGGGAGATGTCGGAGAACAGACGGGAAGAAATGGAGATGCTCGAGAGAAGTCGTCTCTAATCACAAATACTGTGAGAGACACTTACACAGAGGCCGTCCTCGTTCAAGAAAGCATGTGGAACTTCCTTATTCTCGTCCTACTAACAACAATGGTGGTTCCGGGAAAAACAGAGACCCCCCAAGTGTTCCTCAAAAGCAATCTCTTAGTTCCATAAAAGACAAAACAGTCGAGCCAAGAAAGGTTTCATCCAGGTCTTCTTCTTTCATTTGCCTCAGTATTATACTCTGTTTTTGCTTATCAAGGAATCATACTCTGTTTTTTCTTTATCAAGGAATCATACTCTGTTTTTGTTTTATCAAGGAATCATACTCTGTTTTTTGTTTTATCAAAGAATCATACTCTGTTTTTGTTTATTATACTCTGTTTCGTTGTTTGAATTTCTGAGGTGCTGTCTTTTTGATCGTATTTAGTTTTTGTTTTATACTAAAAACAGAGTAATCGAGATGTTTCCTATACCAGCGTCAAATGAGGAAGAGAACAAGTATCTGAACTTTATAGATATCTGGTCAGAAGGAGCAAGATCATCTGAAATACAGAGTACTACAACGTCAACACCTGCTTCTTCTTCCAATGGCAATCTCTCTCTTTACTCGCTTGATCTTTCCATGGGAGGAAACAACTTAATGGGTTTAGGGGTAATCGGGTCGGGTGGTGATGATCCTCACGGTTATGGTCAATACGGTGTCGTGTCTTCTTCTCTTGATGAGATGTCTAGCTGGCTTGCTCCTACTTCTGCCACCCCCGGCGGACCATTAGCGGAGATATTGAGACCGAACCCGAGTTCGATGTTTTTTGTCGACATTGAATCGCATAGCTTGACAGCGACTCCGATCTCGTTGCCGTCCAGAGTGGTGAAGAAGGTGATCGGTTCAGTGTCTGATGAAAGCTGCCAAATTTAGGAATCATGGAGTTTTGTGACGACTACTTTTTTTGTGTCTTCAGGGATGATTGTTGTTGTTGTAGGTGTTTTAGAAAGCCAAAACTTAGTTTATAACCATATAAATCAACCAATCAAGCTTTTTTTAAAAAACGTACAGCAAAAGAATCTTTAGAAAAATATAGAGAGTTTTGTTTGTAGAGTAAAAAATTAGTGCTTTAGAAAGCTACAGTAAAAAAACTATAACAAATAAATCTATAGATTAATTTCTACAACTAAAAACATAAAGTTACAATCCTTACCAATCAACTTGTTCTTTTTTTTCCATTTAGTCTTGTGCCTGTAAACTGTAAGCAGTCACTTTTAGATAATTGTGAACTTTGTTACTTTTTAATTGTCAATGACATAAAATGTTATTAAAAGCGATAATCTTTTGAGTCAATTAGGTAGATTATAAGACCATGTCCAACGCGGATCCGTTTAGGGTTCTTAGCGCAAATACATGGGTAAATGGGCATTTTAAAATAATAAAGCTCAAAGACAAGCAAAGGAATGATCCATAAAGAAGGATTATAAGACCATCCACAACGGTGATCCGTTGGGAGTCCTTAGCACAACAACATAGGAATTTTCAGTTTGGTAATTAAAAAAAAGAGAGAAAAGGTAAGAATCAATCCTTACAGAGGGGTTTTACGGATCGATCCGTATCGACGTGGCACGCAAAACCCTTTTTCTTCTCTCTTCCTCTTCGTGAGATTTTATCATAGATTCTGGATTGGAACATACGTTGATTGGTTCTTCTTTGAATCAACTTTTTAGGTTTTCATCTGAGAAGGATCATTGAAAGTCTCGAGCTTTTAGATCTATCAAGCTCCTGGGTTAATATATCGTTTATTTCAATCAATGGGGTGAGATTCTCCTTCCAGTTTCTGTCTTTTTTTTGTCTTTATGCAGAACATTTTGGTGTCTGATTGATTCAGATTTGTGATAAACCGTAGCTAAGATTGTTTATCTTACTTACACTATCTATTTGAAACTAATAAGGGATCTGTGTTGGAAGATGATGAGAAGTTGTATGTGGTTTTGTAACATAGCAGTGATTGTGTGGCTTGCTACAGAGAACACAGCAGAGCAACTGAAACTCGACTTACACAATCTATTTGAAACTAATAAAGGATGTGTGTTGGGAGATGATGAGAAGTTGTATGTGGTTTTGTAACATAGCAGTGGCTGTGTGGCTTGCTACAGAGAACGCAGCAAAGCAACTGAAACTCGAACATAATTACAGATATCTTTGCTTTCTAGACAAAACCGGTTTATGATTGGTTGATTCAGATTCATTTTGAGGTTTGTTTAGTGTTTCTTTTCACCGAATTTGATGTTTGGTTGGATAATGTGTTGTTATTGCTCTCTTTGTCGATGTTTCTTGATGCTTGTGTTATTTTTATTATTACTAGATTTGTTTTAAGTATTCTCAAAATCAAGTCTTTTACAGATTCTGACGAATTAAGTTTCAATTATTAGGAGTTTCATTTATGACAATGGAAGCTCGTCCGGTTCAGATATCAGGTTCTAGGGAGCTAAGTAACCTAGCTCGCACTTCTTCAGTCCCTTCTACACCAAACCCTTCTTCTTCAGCAGCATCAGAAGTTGCTTTTATGAGATCAGAGAACAACAACAGTACTCAGTTCATGTCTAAGCCGTTAGGCAGCATCCTAGGTGAGTCAGTAGAAATATCTGGCAGTAAATATACAGCTCTTTATGTTTCTGATCCTTATGGTACACATCTTACAAAACCCTCCAAAGGTTTCTAGCTGAAAGTGCTACCGGAAACAGCAGCTCTGTTGGTGTTTCCACAACCTGTGATGAACTCTGCAAATTCAAGTCATCACTTTTAGAGGACATACTAGTGGTGAGAAGTTACTCTTTGTTACGCTTCTGGCTTCTGTTTGATTTGTTCTAAATCAACACTGCAACTCATCTTGACATTATTTGATTATGATAAAGCTAATATGATTCCATTATTGAAAGCCTCTTGTTTATGTATCTTCCTTGTTGTGATTTTCTTTTCTTTTTGCAGGGAATCGTTTTCCTTCTCATCTTGATCAGTGGACTTTGTTGTATGGTGGGTATCGATACACCAACTTGAAAAGGTACTTCAGTGTCAATGGTTACATTACTCATGCCATATAAAGTCCCCTTGCAACATTTATTCATCTCCTTTGTGAGTCTTTCTGAAACCTTTCTTTGAATCCTGCCAATGACTACACAACAACTTTTCTAAGTTTTTTTCTCCAAGCAATATCAAAATGTGAGATTGTAGTACTTGTAAAAAGAATTTTTTTTCCCGTAAGGACTCCTAAATGGAGTCCACCATTGGACTCAATTTTTTGATTAAAGTCCTTAAGTATTTAATTAAAAAAGTAAAATAATGGTTAAGGACTCCTTAATGGAGTCCACCATTGTGGATGCTCTAAGGATCCAATCCTTAACCACGTGGCACGGTTTGAGTGATCCAGCTCGGAGATGAGAATTCGGGGTTGGAAAAAATAATTCATGATTGAAAAATGATTAGATCAAAAATATTTAGAACAAGTTTGGTGATGATGAAGATATTTAATTATTGTATATTTACATTTAATCTTTTAATCAATAAAATTTTAAAATTTAAATATTTTACAAATTTAATTAAAAAAATTCTAAGAAATCCATGACGGGTAACACCATTGGAAGACTATTTCTGATTAAAATCCTTAACTATTCAAAAAAAAATATTTTATTTCTAAGGATTCCAATGGTGGATAACACCATTGAAAATGTTCTAAGTGGGCAAAACAGTAGATTCCCGTGTTTTCTTGTAGCATAATAAGCATGGGCAGTATTATATATCTCACATTTCAGTCCATTTTGTAGTAAAAAATATTTAGGTTTATCCCGTAAGGTAAATGTTTAAATTCAGTTTACACTTTATAACCAACAAAAATACTATACAGAATTAGTTAAAAAGACAACAAATTTTTTAAAAAATAATAACTGAAAAAACAACACCGATGATAATACCGTTTGCAAAACTCTAAACACTAAAAACCTAAAGTCTAAACCCTAAATCAAAAACCATAAAACCTAAATACTAAATCTTAACCATCAATCTTAACCCTAGACTCTAAATCCTCAACCCTAAACCAAAAACTTTAAATCTTAATTTTAAACCTTAATTTTAAACCATAAATCCAAAACCCTAATCATGAATTTTAAATCCTAAATCCTAAACACTAGATTCTAAACCTTAGATTCTAAACAAAAAAAATCATAAACACGAAACACTTAAACCTTCACTTGTTTAGGGTTTGAGTTTATGTTTAGAGTTTAAGATTTACAGTTTAGGGTTTAGGAATGATTGTTAGATTTATGGTTTAGAATTTAGAATTTAGGATTTCAAGTTTAGATTTTAGGATTTAGGGTTTATGGTTTAAACTTTTGGGTTTAGAATTTATGATTTAGGGTTTAGATTTCAAGATTAGATTTATGGTTTAGAGTTTTTGATTTAAGATTTAGATTTTAATATTTAAGGTTTATGGTTTAGAGTTTTAGAGTTTAGGGTTTAGAGTTTTAGGGTTGAGGGTTTAGAGTTTAGATTTTTAAGATTTAGGGTTTATTGTTTTAGATTTTTAGGATTTTAGAGTTTAAAATTTTGCAGACGTTATTAATGTCAGTGTTTTTTTGGCTATTTATCTTTTTCAGGTTTTTTTAAAATTAATTCTACATGGCATTTTGGTTTTTTTTTTGTAGAGCCTGAGGTGAATTTAAACATTCACTATAGAAATGAACTTAAGTATTATTCTTGTGTAGTATACATTTAACAGATTTTTTAAGTGAAAAGTCAGTTAACAAAATATTTAGTTAAGATTTGATGTAGTAATATAAGAATAAGAATTTACCTGCATTTGGCGCGGGAGTTTTTTTTTCATTTAGACTGATAAACTACCGTTTATGGTAGAAATTATTGTTAGCGGTGTAGTATGTAAACCTCTAAATGAAATTGTACTTAACAGCAATGGCGGAGGCAACTTATTAGGAAATATGTCATTTCACCCACATAAAATTTGCGGAGGCAGCTTATTAGGAAGGGTGTCAATTGACCCACATAAATTTTGAAAAATCTAATGAAATTTTATTATTTGTTTAACATTGATCCCAGTCAAATAATATTTTTGACCTTCATCACCTTTTTATTCAATCTAGATTTTGATCCGCGCTTGAAAAGCGCATAAAATTTTTATGATTAAAAATCTATATAATTGGGTTTTATCTTAATTTAAAGAATGTTTTGGTATAAAATCAGTTCACCGAAATTTATGGTGATGATTATTTTTCATTAGTTTTTAGTTTCAGTTTTTATTTTTAGATTTTGTTTTAATTTTAGTTTTTGGTTTTTAGTTTTTAAGTTTCTATTTTTGATTTTCAGCTTTTTGTTTGAGTTTTTAATTTTTAGATCCGCTGAGTTAGTTTGAACTGATAATACCAACACACAAATCCCAAATATCGAACATCTAAATTCAAAACTGAAAAGATGAAAAAAAATTTTACAAAAAAATTGCAATAGTTTATTTTGTAGACAAACAAAAAAAAAAAAAATATAACCTGCGTTTTTAGATTTTGGTTTTGGATTTTAGTTTTTATATTTAGTTTTTGGTTTTGCTTTACATTTATTTTTTAATCAGTAAATTATTTAAGAAAAATAAAACAATAAATTATTTAAAAGTTACCATTGAAATTTATCAAAACAAAGTGATTTTTATTTAAAAAACAAATACAATAGTATGTTTTAAAGTACATGATTTAAATAAATGATTAATAATAGACAATTTTGTTTTCTTAAAAATATTAATATCTTTGGGCCGGAAAATAATAATTGATTTTTTGATCCATTAAGGTCAAAAGTTTATTCAATGTTTTTTGAATCTTTTCTTAATACTAAGTCCAAAAAACTAAACCATATAACTTGTCCTAAAAACCAAAGTA